TTGTTCTGGGAGAGGATGACATTCACATTGACGTCACTTGACCAAAATGCTTGAATATTTATTTTTGCAAATCCTGAGGTTAATGCAGATTACTGCAGTAAATTGCAACATAGTAAACATGACGTCAGTTCACAAAAAAATAATAGATTTCACATACCATCAGAAATTAATTTTTAAATTTATGCCACTTGCTGCTTAAAATGTATTCTAATAGATGTTTTATCTTTTAAAAAATACAGCAATTGAAGTTCCTCAGCAACATATTCTCCACCCATGTAGTTCAGCGGTGCCGTGTGTGTTTACCACGTTTCTATAATATTCATGATGCACAGATTACTAAACTCTCTCTATAGATGAAGCAGAGAGTTTAAAAACCAGACAAATTCATGTTGGATCAGTGAATTTTAATAAAATAGATGTTCTACCAATTAATGAAGGAGCTCTTCCCTGCAGAGTGATTCCCCATGATCATCACGATAATCTTCTTTCTCGGAGGAAGGAGCCGGACTCCGAGGCTGCTGGCAATTTTCACCAGACCTGCAAACACACAATGTAATTTAATACTAAAACAATTATATCCAGACTAAATAGAAACTTTTTTCATAAAATAAAAAAAGCTAGGTGCACTCTTTAGACATTTGCATGCGAGTATGGACATGCAAATGGAAATTTGCGTTCAAGGGCGCACACAAATGTTGAAATCAAAATGTGAAAATCACTGAGAAGGAACAGAAACACCTTAGAACCTTCACTGAGTAGTTGTTGTTTTTTAATGCCATCATTACACCACAAAACGTATGTATGGCTTATTAAAGAATAACTATGACTCAACTGTTTGATTAAACAACTCAACTGATTGTTTGCCCTGGGCAAGTTTATATGTGTGACATCTGATCCTGAAGAAAGGAAAAGCTCGTCTCTGGGGTCTGCAGTTCTGCAAGTTCAACATGCCTTCTTGCATCCGTCTCTTCCTAACTACCATGGAAAGAAAGCTCTAGGAGGAGTTTTGAGAGCAAAGTCTGGAGTCACACACATAGTTATCAAATAACAGAGGTGGTCTGAGGGCAATCGCTCTTTACAACAGCGGTTACATTTGTTTTAGGTGGAAGTGACCTGCGTCAGAAGCCATTGGCAGTGAATGCACAGATAGGGGCGCTGCCTGCTTCAGGTGTCATGTTTGTCACACTGACAGCAGCTGCTGCGGACAGACCGCTGCAGAAATCTCTGCCGCCCCACAGATCACCGTGAAACACTCAACAACCACACTCCCGTCTGCGTGTTCGTGCTGCTGTAATCCGGGTGGCCGCTGGGTATTTACCGTTCTCGCTGTCCACGTACAGACTGTGGCATTCCTTCAGGATCCTCTCGCTCGGGGTGGTGATCGCAGACTCCAGGGGGTTCGCCACATACCGGGGCTTTCTGCCCGACATGATCCAAACCGTGGATCTCCTTGCGGTTTGCAGAGGGGGAAAGGTTTCAGGGTTGCACACGCGCATTCGAACTGTGCGTCTGTGAGGAAGAAGCGCCCTCTTGTGGTGAAATGCGGTGACCGACACCTGCGCCTCAAGCAGCTGACTATAAAACACTAATCTGGTGTTGATGATAATCTGTCAGATTTTTATAACTAAGATTCAAGAGGAAGTGCAGGCATATGATAACTGTCCACCTCAATTGCTTTTGCTTGCGTTTGTGCTAGCAACCACATAATATAGTCCAGCAAAGAAAAAGCTATCCTAACTATAACTCCACTTTTAAATGATATTAAATGTTTAATCTGAAATTTATGGTTTGAGACAATGGAAAAGGAGCTCAGAAAAAAAAATCACTTTAATGTGAAAAGCACAATAAGTCCTCTGAGGTCTAAGTCAAGTGAGAAAGCACTAAAATAAAAACCTGCCTAGTCTGTGATAACTCGCAAACATTTTGTAACAACTCCCTCTAAGGGGCGAGATTTAGCAACAACCAACCCTTGTGACAGCCAGCCTCGTTCTCTCCTAATGCAAGCTTGCTTTCACCACATTATTCTCACTGTTCTGTGAAACTAAAGTATCTTGTGTAGATAACGCAGAAATAAAACATTGGATGTCATTGAGTAGTTTTGCAGCTGTTTTAATGTATCCATGCACACAGCAGTTAATGAAAAGTTATCTTTCTGCAAATGAGTTTGACGGGAGGAAAAACTGAGAGAACAAAGACGGGGCGCTGTTTGTGCAAAACAGTATTGTTCACAAACACATCCTTTTTATTCTGTAAAGAAAAGTTGCATAATTATATTGCATTTATTAAATCTTCATGCACCAAACGCTATTGTTTATGGGAATAGAGCTCCTTAAATTATTTTAAAACAAGCAGCCTACACTTCTTTGCACCGTCTTGCAAAGCTTCAAGGCTCTTTGAAGGAATTTGTTTGAAGGTCAACAAATGGCATTCTGAAACACATGAAGTTGACTTGACCTGTTGGATAAGGGTTTAAAACTCACATGCTCAAAGCTGTGGTTATGATTTAGAACGATCTCTGTTCTTCGACTGGAGAAAAGGTTGACAATGGACAAATCCTTTCACATTTCAGTGCAACCTTGTCTCAGGATCTGTGTGCAATGATAAATAGAACTGAGAAAAACCTTTCTGCAAACCTAAACAAGAGATGAGCAAAGGTACCCTGGAATAAATTCTCATTTGTTTGCTTCAGGCTATATATTGAGCAACACTAAACAAGTGAAAAGTGTACCACAAAGGCTGGTTATTATGTCTATATATGGGTCAAGCAGTCCTTTCACTGCCAAAGGGGTGCAGAGGCTGTTAAATTTCAATGAGTTTAACATCCCCCCCCCCCCTCCAGCAGAAGTCATGCGCTGCACCTTACAACTGGGAGACACAATGTAAGGAGGGCAATCCGACTGAGCGGCTCGAAACGCTTTCAATGCTTTGTTTGAACTTCATTTCACAGCAACTTTCAAGATGAATTTAAGTGAGGAAGCCAATAAATCAAAGAAAGAGGTGAGTGTAAGATTTGACCCCATTTTGGGTTTTCTTTCTGAATATTTGATTTTCCTTTAGCGTCTGAAAACGATGCACTGTGGCTTCCCTGCAGCAATAAATGGAGACGTGGTCCAATAGTATATTTTAAGAGTTTCTACTCTTTTGATGTTGCATTCATGGTTAATTCAACACAAATTGTTTCATTTCCCATTCTGTACATTTTCTGTCAGGATTCTGATAAGGACTTCTAGGGTTTCCATGTATCTGCTGCAGCTATTTGTTAGTCATTTGTGTATTTTTGCACTTAAATTAACAGTATGTAAGATGTTTATGGTCTGAACACTAATCATGTATGTTATGTTTTGGCTTTGTTGTCTATTTTATTTAACATAAATTAAAATCACAAACAAATTATTGCACATAAACCTGTTCTTTCATAAAAATCCATCATCAATCCATCAACTTATCATTTAATAACTTTGGGGATGTTTTTCAACATGGATAAAAACAAAATAAGGAGATAACTTGACTAAGCAAGGTACAAGTCTACAGTCAACAGCACTTTATAAAAAGTGAAGAAAGCAAAAGACACAAGATGATTTTCTTCTGTTTGTCACATAGGGGGAGCCAGCACAGCGTCTGTAGAGATCATGTCTCCAGTCCTTTAGTTTGAAGGACTAATAACATTGTTATTTATATTTGGAGTAATCTTGTTGCCCAAAATAAAATAAAAATAAATAAAATAAAAAATCAGTCAGTCATAATAGCAGGAGGTGCTGAAACGGTTTCATTGAGTTAAATTCCTGGAAAAAAAGATCAAAATCAAGTAATCTTATTAAATGTTTTCACAAATATTTGATGGTTTATCATTTTGTTTCTGCTTAGTTTTTGCTATTATTCAAATAGCTCAAACGTGAAACAAGAATAATTCTTGTGCCCCATTCAAAAATTCTAAAAAAAAAATCTACTAGATTAAATTATGGACAGAAGATCGGAGCTGCTCTGAATGTTGGCTGGTAGGAGCAACTCACTCTTTGTCACTTTGTGCTTTTTATTGTGTAGCACCTGGAGCAGCTGTGCTCTTCTTGTGTCTAGAGTTTGATTTCTGGTACATTTTCTTTAGAAAAGCTTTTTGAAAATATCTGACAATGGAAACTATTTTGTGGGATTTTCTTTTTCTCTATGAATTGTTGGACAGAAGCTGATTCATATTGAAGAGAACGGTCTAAACAAGAAAACCCGGTCCCTTTTTAAATGAGGAAATGTTTACCTTTGTTGTCCACACAGGAGTTAAATTTTAGAATGTCAATAAATTGGCCAAACAACTAAACTTGTAATGAAAGCAACAAAGTGAGCTGTAGCTTCCACACAAATCCTCCATTTTATTCAAGTGCAACATTGCAGCATAAATAGACATTTTCTTAAAAAGGAGCCCATTTAAGAATATCAACACTATATCTAGTCAACTCTGACCAGCATTTTGCTGTTATAAACATAAAAGTATCACAGCAAAACATAGTTGATGATAATTTTCAGTGCATATAAACTGTGCATATTTATTCAAGTGGTCTGAAGGACTTCTGAAAACTCAATCATCTTAACATAATTTAACCATAATTTTACCATAATTTCCCTTGAATATTAAGAACCAACAAATTATAAAAATGCTATTATTTACTCATTAGGGCTGCTTGAGATCATCAAGCAAGAGGTCCTAAGATGATGCAAAGGCTTCTTGTGCTTTAAGATCAGAAGACTGATTGATTGTTGTGAATTTACAAGACTGATTAGTTTAGTAAAGCTTAATGTAGCTTCAATATGCTACATGCTGTCTCCACCAATACTTCTCTCACTGAGCTCTACTTCTTCAGTTCTTGGATGCTGTCACAGTAGCGTGAAACTCCGATGATTACCCTCATTATGCAGAAGATTCACCACACTTCATACTCATTTTCTGACAACAGATCAGTTGTGTTATTCTCAGGATAAACTCATCCACCAGTCAGACATCAGTTTACTTCTGAGAGCAGCCTCAAGAAGAAAAGGATACTCCATGTGTGGACAACAGTTTTAAAAAGCCTTGAGGTTGTGAGAAAAATGCCAAAAGAATACGTGGATGAGTACGAGCCTTTGATCGTAAGGGGCATTAGAGACAAAAGGCGTTTAAAGGTATGCAAGGCATACATTGTTATGACTCGCTGAAGAAAAAAAAGAATGACATTGTTGTTCTTGATTTCCTGGAAATGCTTTCCTGAAGTCTTTGTTTGGATTTTTGCAGCTTCCAAACAAATCGCTGCTATTTGCTGTGTTTGCTGCTTGTGTTGGAGGAACGTTTCAGTATGGATACAATATCTCTGTCATCAACGCACCCACAATGGTAAGAACCAGGAAGAAATGGGATTACCAAGGGAGGATAGCAAAGCAAAGCTGGATTATTATTGTTTCTTCTTAAAAGATGCACTTCAAAGTAGTATTTTATTGTTTTTCCTGAAAGAAAAGTTGTCTGTGATAAACTTTTTATAGTTGGTGACCTACTTGCCTGCAGATTTTTTGTTCTGTATCAACCAATGGTATATAAATTACATATAAATTGTTCAAATTAAAACAATGCTGCTCTTCATATTAATGTGTGGACAAACCTGTACTTAGAAAGTACGTCAAAGATTTCCTTTTGCCAAATTGTAGCTGCACTTAAAAACATCCAATGTTAAACTCCATTTCTTTTCTTTCCTTCCATCCGAAGTACGTACAAAATTTCATCAACCAGACCTGGATGCAGCGCTATAAAACCAACATATCACAGGATGGACTCACGCTGCTCTGGTCCACCATTGTTTCCGTGTTCACCTTAGGAGGGTTCATAGGGGCATCAGTGGGTGGGACTTTATCTGTGAAGCTGGGAAGGTATGGAGATGTTACTACATTTGGTAAGACTAACTCATCTTTTGTTATCTCTAAGTTGTATCGTGTCATCTCCTTCAGGAGAGGGACGCTGCTGGCCAATAACGCCTTTTCACTGACAGCTGCTCTGCTGATGGGTCTGAGCTCCACTGCAGGCTCATTTGAGCTGCTCATCATTGGACGGCTCCTCAGTGGAATGAATGCAGGAAAATACAGCCAAACATTCTTACATCTCTTGAGCTTCCCCACTTTTTGCATTGTACATCCACAAACTGAAATCCAAAGTGTTGGGATTTGATGTTTTGATGTTTTGTGAAACTCCAAATTCAATAGCTGTGAAGAGGGAAAAAAAGAAACATGGTCTTCAACATTTGTCATAAATAAAAGTCTAATGTAGTGGCTGTTTCTCTTTAGCCCCCTACACACTTTTTATGACAACTAATTGTATAGGGTTGATAAAGTAACCAGCATTGCACATGATATGGTAATTTTTTTCCTTTCTTTTTTGCAAAATAGCACCTTCTATAATGTTCTTTATGTGTCCTACAGAGCTTGTGCAAAACTGATTTTGACTTTCTTATAACAATGCCTTTCTTCTTTCCATTCTTCCATAAATAGCAGATTTCTAGAGTGTACAGCAATCAGCTGACTTGTCTACACATTCGTCCACCTGAGCTAGAGTGTCCAAGGACCTTTTGGCTGCTTCTCAATTAGGAAAACATTTTTAAAAACCTTTTATATGTTTTTTTTGATTTCAGAATTCACATGGAACAAAACAGGAAAAAAACATTTTCATGTTTCAAGAGGTGTAAATACTTAAATAAACCATTGTATTTAGAACAAAATGACTCAAAAGAGATATTTTGTTTGATAGCCAAACACCTCCTTAAAAACTGGTTTGAATATGTTTAGTAATAATCTTTTTCTCGTTAACATTTTTGGGACCTGTCTTTAAAACAAAATACTAACTTAGACATGAATCTTGGATTGTTGTTCACAGGCATTGCCCTGTGTGTTCAGCCTCTTTACTTGGGGGAAATAGCTCCGACTGCATTACGTGGGGCCATGGGAATGGGAACTTCAGTCTTCATCACTGGTGGAATCTTAACAGGACAGGTTATGGGCCTCAAGTAGGTTTCAGACATTAAATTCCACATTGGCCGCTTGGTATTCACTTTCAAGGAATGCACAGAATGCTGTGCTGTCTTAACAAGCATGCTAATTTGGCATTTGTGTGTAACTGTGCAGAGAAATTCTTGGTAAAGAAGAGTACTGGCCCATTCTGCTCTCCACCACATGCGTCCCTGCATTCCTGCAGCTCCTTATTCTGCCCTGGTTCCCGGAGAGCCCGCGCTACCTGCTTATTGACAAAGGAGATGAGGAGAGATGTAAAAAAGGTAAAGTATTTCTAAAACTATTCCTCAGTCGTTTTTGTGTAGGTCATTATTTTAATTTTTTTAATTTTTTATCTTTATTATATTATCATTTTTGCTTGTTTAAACCCTGAAAAGTCATTTTAACTTTACTGGAACAATTGGAACTAAACCACAGAATTAAAAATATGTATATATATATATACAAAAGCAACCTGTCTTCCACATGCTAATTTTGAGGAACCATAAGAAGTACAGTGTAAATGTAGCCTTCTTATACAAATCTTATCTAGAAGCAGAAATCTGTTTTGTTGGTACAGTCAGTTCATGCATGTGATCTAGTTTGGACCACAGCGCATTAATGTGAGAGGAAAGCTGTTTAATGCAGGAAACCTTTTGATTGGACTTTAAAAGTCACACCCGTGATGCCTGATCAGATGAGAAGAATGGGGTTCACACACAATTTCACTCACTGAGTCATGTGGGTTTCTGTGTGCAGCCTTGAGGCAGCTGCATGGCATAGCTGACTCTGGTGATGCGTTGGAGGATATCGAAAAGGAGAAAAATAATTTGGTGGGTTTCCAAGCCAAGAAGCCCTGGGAACTCTTCTCCGATCGTAGTTTACGTTGGCAACTTCTCACCATCATCCTGCTGAACATTGCTCAGCAACTGAATGGCATTAATGCTGTATGTATGACTTACTCTGAAGCAACCCCCTAATGATAATTTTTTTTAAAAATCTAAAGTCAGAATTATATCCTCCTGTCTTTAGATTTACTTCTATGCTGATTATGTGTTCCGACAATCTGGTATTCCTATGGATAAAATACCTTATGCAACTGTCGGCACTGGTGCCTGTGAGTGCATCACTGCTTTAACGTGTGTGAGTATTCATTTGTACTTCAATTTTAAATGAAGTTTTGTGTCATTTTTGTTTTTATGCATTGATTAAGGTACACTATAAGTTGACTATTTCCTCTGACTTCTGGAAAAATTGCACTGGATTTGATTGGGGGTAACTTGAGTCCCCTCATTGTACTCAAGGGGACTTAATACAAATGCACAACACACCTTTTAGCTTCATACCTATTCAACGTTCATGGAAACCAGTTTGGTTTATTTGTAGAATTAACTGAACTATCACATTAAAGTGCAACAAAATAGACATATTAGAAAATGGCCAGCTACATTTGCTTGTTAAACCTCCCCACATGGTCTTGTGACATGCTGTGTGTCTCACAGGGTATGCTTATTGAATGTCTGGGAAGGAAAATCCTCATCATGGGGGGTTATGTACTCATGAGTATTTGCTGTGTTTTTTTCACACTGACGCTCACTTTCCAGGTAAGTTACCTCATAATCAAACATCTTACCCAGACATTTATGCCTGAGTTAACATTTGCTCTCCTTTCAGGATTTCAGCCCCGTTTTTCCATACCTAAGCATGGCATGTATTTTTGCCTTTATCTTGAGTTTTGGCTTGGGACCAGGTAAGTAAATAAAGCATGAGTCTCATTAAATTTCACAGCCATGTCACTAATTTTCTTTGTGTCTTCTGTCTGTCAAAGGTGGGGTGACTAACATCCTAACCACAGAGTTGTTCACACAAAATGCTCGACCTGCTGCCTTCATGATTGCAGGATCAGTGAACTGGCTCAGCTTCTTCTTAATCAGCTTGGTCTTTCCCTTCATTGTGGTCAGTCCTCTGGGTCAACATGAATAAGTGCAATTTAAGGTGAGGTGAGCTGTTGTCTGATAGACCATTTCTTTACATTCACAGATTGGGCTACAGCAGTACTGTTTCCTGGTCTTCTTGGCAGTTTGCTCCTTGGTGGTCACCTACATATTCTTTGTTGTTCCTGAAACAAAGAACAAAACCTTTGTGGAAATTCAGAACGAGTTCCAGTCATCGAAGATGAACAAGTTTTGCAGTTCAGAGGGAGCTGGAGCTATACTCTCATCAACGTCCATCTAAAATGTTTCTCAAACAAACTTTCTCTGTCACGCACAACATTTACACATCACTAAATAATGAGGAAACACACACATGCATGAGAGAGCAGACTGTAATAAATATCTACAAAATGAAGTTAAGATGACCTTGTTACACATCCCTGTATTATACATGATGATTTGTACTACCTCTATAAAGGATGCTTTACTTAAATTTTTAAATACATGTCAGTTAAAAATGTCCATTCTTCCTTAATTGGTGTGAACAGGTTCAAAGTTAAGACTGCATGCTGCTGCAGCTGCCTGGTCTTTTCTAATCCCTCAGAGCTGCACGTGGTCTGGAGAACAAAGACTTTTTTTACATGGATAAAGAGTAAATCAGTGAGAAGATTTGTGGAGGTTTGATTTGTTTAGAAGTGTTAATACTATCAGAAGTATGAATGATATGATACATATGCAACAAGGTCCAGATATGGGTTTGCCAAAATGTTTTAAAAAGTTATTTTTTTCAGTGAGAACATACTCATTTGAAAGTTCACATCAAAATGTTTTAAATTCAGAAATAGCAGCTTTTGGACATGGATGGCGATCTTAAGCTAAACATTTTGTCTTCTTTTGCCTGACTTTCTAGTCATCTTTTAAAGTGGTGTTGATAAATCTGCATTTCTTTCTTCGGATAGCTCACTAATTTACAATTGTTTGCACATAAGATATGGTGAATGCATAAATCATTCAAGCATCAAAAAAGCATGTTTGACGGATAACTGAGCGTAGAAAAGCTGTGCATCCTCACAATAACAAAATCTTTTAATGGCTTTGCAAACAGAGGGTCATAACAACTGAAGGAAAACTACAGCTGGTTAGGTCAGCAGGTCCAATATAATAACATGTCATCACATGTCATGGCGCAGGCACCTGCTCAGGTATGACATAAGAAAGATTTTAATAAAGACAAACAAAAACTTTAAAAAATATATTAACAAAACTAAATGGAGCATGGATGAAGACTCAGTCTTGGAACAACAAACTTGGAAAATTACATGGAGGTAGAACAGTTTAATGTAAATGAAACAGATTTGAAACTGAGCAAGGAAACAGTACAGAGAATCCAGAGCTTAACAGTGTGAAATCAGGAATTTCAATGGGTGACTGAACAGGTGCAACAGATGAGGATGATGAGGCAGCACAGGTGAGTGGCATAAATAATACAGAAAGGTGAATGTAAGTACAAAAGAAAACAGAAAAAAGACAAACATAGGAGCTAACAGGAGAAAATTAAGATATAAACAGAGAAAGAACGTGACAGGAGAAATGTAGGGGAATAATAAAGAATACAAAAAAATCAAGAGTCAAGAATAAACTAAGACCCTAGAAATAAGGATACAAACTGTCATGTCTAAACTTGGCAAACAACAAATACACGAGACTGAACCGAAAGTGAGTACACTCTAAGGAGACAAGGAAATGACTAAATAACACACACACACACACACACACACACACACACACACACACACACACACACACACACACACACACACACACACACACACACACATATATATATATATATATTCCAAATGTGATCACTTGCAATCACATTTTCTGTGATTACAAATTCACAGAAAATTTAATCTCAAGACATTTTACATGACAAACAGACCCAGTTCTTGCCTGCTTATAAAGTGGCTTCTAACTGATTTATTCCTACACATACGCATTCAGTTTGTGCAGTCTTAAGAAAAAAACTGTTAGATTCAGCCATCTATCGTCTAAAGCTGTTTATACATGAGGTTCACTCCATTGAAATGTGTGTCAGATTCAGTAGCTTTAAAAATTTCCTGATTCTCAGCAGGAAGCTCCTTTATTTCAAGAAGTGACCTCCAAGCTGAGCTAGTTTAACAGCTTTTATCTCCAGATTTTTATGGTCAGACAGTGATACAGGAATTGTGACCGTGATATTGCATGAATCTCTCCTGTTCCAGAACCAGCCATTTCTAGTTAGTTTACTATGCATCTTTTCACTGTCCTGACATCTTCTTCTTCTTCTACAGCATTTTCTGTCAGTTTACATACTTTGTGTATTTCCATCAACTGGACGGAAATGTAATTCAGAAATTATTTTTTCCCTATATATATTCAAATCTTAAACTAAATATATTATACACTGGGGAAAAAACAATATCTAATCTGTAGTAACAGATCAGGCTTGAGACTCTGGCAAATTTCAAAGAGCAAAATCTTTATTTCAGTCGTTTGCAAACGGAGAACACACAGTAACCACAACACAACAGCTGTACCTACAATGAGTTCTGATTTGGAGCTGCAAGCTCTCACAATATATTGGACTCTCTATACAATGTGGTCACTCACTGGCCCAGAGCCAGTTGAACAGGTTAATGCACAGTCACTCTTAACAGGGTATAGAGAGAATGCAACATCCATTCTGAGGGTAAGTTAATTGTTCAGATGAGAAACATCTTTATTCAAAAATAGGTGCATTTCCAAAAATCAGGTTTACTAATGGAACAATTTTGCATAACAAGAACATTATCAGACTTTGTACGTTCACTCAGCACATAGCCTTAGCTTGTGACATTTTAATGGAGGAATTTGTTAAGCCTTAGGCTTTATTCCATCTCACTACAATTTACCTAACCTGTTTATTGTTATCTGTTTATTTATTTATTTACTGTTTATTAATAACTGTTTATTGTTATCTGTTAAGAAACACTGGCGCCTGATTTTAGTTACTGACAACCTACTGAAACTTTTCCAAGGAGAGGTCAAAAGGAAACCTATCTAACTGATTCTTTGAAGACTCTTTGACCTACATGGTTTAACATACTAAACAATACTAGTGTTAAATGACTAAAGAATTAAATCAAATTCTTAAAAGAAATAACACAATTTTTACTTCACAACACATACCTATACACTCTCACACACATACTAAATCCCCTCAGCTAATTTTGTATCTTTTAAATATGTAATGACTGCTAGAATTATTTCTGTCCTGATATGATCAGAAATTCTTGTACAGAAATTTGGCCAAGTGTCATGTCATACACTGCCATCTAGTGGCCAACCATATTTGTTATTGATAAAAAACAGCTCTGCTCTGTTCTGCTTGGGCCTTCGAAATAAAACATTTAAAGACCAAGGTCAATCTTTCTCATTTCTTAACAGGTTCTCTACCCTTTATTTAAAAATTTCCATGGCAAGACCAACACCAAATCCAATATAATTGGACCAAATGCAGAGAAAATGACAACATTTTAACAAGCTCTTCCTCCTGCTGTGTTTATTTTTTACATGCGTCTGTCTTTGCATCTGATCTGATTTAAATGGTAAACTCGTCGCTCTCATGAGGTTTTTCAGTCTGGTTACCACAGTACTGAGATTGCCCTGCTCAAAGTGCTCAATGAGCCAAATAAACACATACAGTGGAAGAACCACAGACCTGAACCTTCAATGCCACCAGAATAAAACGTGACCTACATTCTAAAAAGTGAAACAGTAACTAAAGATGAAAACTCAAAGGGTAATACCATCAAGGCATGAAAGACTTAAAGCCAGAAACAGATACCTAAAAATAAAAAGCAAAACACAACAAAAATACCTCCATTACTACATTACAATGGTGAGTATCAGCAAGGAAACTTACAAGCAAATAAACCTCAACATTAATAACTGAAAATCAAAGTGATTTGCATAAGGGAAGCAAAATTTAAAAAACAATGCAGTAACATAAACAACAGAAGTGGTATTTTTGGAAAATGTTTAAGAGAATAAATAAGGGAGGTTTCAAATATCCAATCTCAAGCTGTGTGAATCACTGTAAATAGTCATGAAACATACAGAGATGTGCAAACGTCTTTCAAAGGCAGTTGGATAATTTACAAAAATTTGTTTTCTTAATTGCAGTTGTCTTGAAACTTAAGTTTTAACATTTTTCTCCTTGAGGTTGTCTTAATTATTTTTTTAAATCAATGTATGGTGTACAATTATAAATATTATATTGTAAATTGTACTTGATTTGTTTTCCTTGCAATTCAACTTAATACAAAAAGAAAGTCAAGTGTGCTGCCAAAGTGTGTTTTAATTGAATATTTTTTGCAAAAGTCTAGACATTTAACTTTTTAAATAGCATTACAAAAATTAACATACAGAAATAATTTAGTCTGCAACACAAAATGGGCCTTAATAATTTGCCAAAACACAACAGTTGTGCCAGATTTGATTGACAGTTCCTATTAAAGTGAGAGGCACCGGGGAATCCCAGATGTGGTAGCACTTTACTCTAGCGATTGCTCGCTCTACAATGATCCGCAGCCGAGCGATGGTCTGGGTCTCCTCTCTCTCTTCCTTGCTGAACTGACCAGGATGCCTAAATGGTGGAATGATGAGTTTGGCTCCAACGTCATGAAGGAGGTCTTGAATGAGGAAGCCTTTATCTGCCATGACTTCATCTCCCAGCTCAAGCAGAGGAAGGATTCCACTGACCTTCGTTATTTCTTTGTCGGAGAAATAAATGTCACCAACCCACAGGGAGCAACTCCAATCAGCCCTTTCAGAGTGGTGTGGTTCTTGTAGGCAGAGAACGTTTCAGACTGTAAGGTGAGGGATGATGGCGTTTCCAGAGCAACTTCTGTGCAGTCCAAGATGACACAGACATTTGAAGAGAACTTCAGAAATTTATCTTTTATGTTCTTGTTCCATTACGAAAGCAAGCATACTTTGTGCCATCTTTCAATGACCTTCATCACTGTTTTCTTTGCATTTTGAAGGAATGTGAGAGTTTATTTCTGGCCCTGCATTGAAAAGGGAGGCTTCAGCATTGAATTTACATTCCGTCAAAATTTAACTTTGCATTGATTGTACTGAAGTTTCTCATGACAATAAAATTAACCAAATTGAATTTATGAAACCAATTTGGTTATCAATGTTGGAAATTGCTAATAACTTTAAAACAATGCCATTTTCTTAAATTGATCGTTTTTCTTTTAGAAACAAACAAGTTGTTTGAAGAATTGTGTGATTTAAATCTGTCTCTTTTCCTTTTTTAAAATAAAAATAATTCATTCTTAATTATATCCAAACCAATTATAATATTATATCTCTTCTCACATGTGAAACTTGGGGGTTGTGGTAAACTGCGGTTGGGGCAAAAGAAGGATCTAATGCTGTTTTCTAAACTTAATTGCCCAGCCTCAGACTTGATTGAATTTTTCCCTAATCTCTGTGTAACGTGAAGTCTCAGGGTTAAGGGCTGCACCGTTTCAGTCTGCAACCTCCACAGCAGACCTGGAGAATGGGAAACTCTTTACTTGTTGGAAACCACGAAACTCCAGTGGACATTTCCGTCTTTTTAAATGGAGAGGTTAATGTGGTGGGATTGCAATTACGTCACCAAAATTACTTCAATGTAGTCAGAACAATGCGAGTGATTCTTCAGCCCCAGTCGATTGCATCAGGTCAGTTGTATCATCATCATCATCATCATCAGCAGCAGCAGCAGCAGCAGCAGCAGCCTGAACTTCTTCCGCATTAAGTCGGTGCAGAGAGCCAGCGCTCACTGGGAAGACATCCCGACAGTGAACTTTTAGGAAACCCAACGAAATGCCAAAAGACTATATGACCGAGTATGCGCCTCTGCTCACGAAGGGAAGCAAAAAACCAAAAAGGTTACAGGTAAGCCGACTTTAGAGCCCAGGCTGGAGGATCTTGATGCGGTAAGTGTAACTTTCCCAATTCAGACGATTTCTAATCCTAATGACGAGCCTGTGTTTTCTGCCTGCAGCTGTTTTGTTTCCAGTTCCCGAACAAGTTTCTCCTGCTGGCTATGTTTTCGACATGCATAGGTGGCACGTTTCAGTGCGGATACAACATATCGATCATCAATTCGCCCACCAAGGTAGTCACTGATGCTTCTCATGGACACAGACACATCCATTGATCCAGGTTGCTGTGGCTTTTAATTTGCAGACGACGCCATTATGATAATTGTCTGGTTACCAGGTAACTAGATGTTAATTGTTCAGTTTGACTCTTGCGCGTGTTGACTCGCCCTTCTGCGCATGCTTGATTTTTTGACAGAGCGGTGACTTTGAAAAGCCACTTGCAACAAGTCCCCCATTCACTGTTTTCAGTTGGTTTTATTGGAGTTAGTCACTGGTTGACCGCACCGTGGTGGCATGACTAGTGGCCACATTTATGTGCTAGAGGGACATGCGGATTTCACAGGAAAACAGGATTGTTCCCTTGAAAGTTGTCTTTTCTTCACAAGGAGCCATTTGTAAAGATAAACCATTTGTAAAAGAAAAAAAAAGCAGCTAAAGGAAAAATAAAATAGCTTCCTTGTTTGATAAAATCTTATATTGTCAGTTTGAAGTTTGAAAATAGTGCCCCATGATTTACGGTGAAGCGAAGTGTGATTCAGTTTATGCAATAAAGCTTTGCAAGATACACTTAAGAAAAAGAAATAAAAAGGAACAAAAAAAAAAGCTTTAATTATAGTTTCATTTTTAAATTGTTGGAAAAAATATTTTTTTAACATGGATAATGCGCACTGTTACACCCCTTTAAAAATGTATACTGTTTTGACTTTTTTGTTGTTTCATTTAAATATTTCAGATGGTCATTTTTCAAGATTTGACATCATAACTTAAGTAAATACAAAATACGGTTTTCAGTGAATGATTTCATTAGGCGATAAATGAAAATATTTCTTATTATAACTATGTAACAACATTTTATTTCTTTTAACTGAATCCTTAAGCTTTTACAGTGTACTAATTGAGCTTAGTTACTGGAAGAGAAAGGAGAAATTTGTGTCATTTTCCGTCTGCTAATGCTATTATTCTACTTCTTTTCTTATTTCAAGTATGTGCAAGACTTCATAAACCAGACCTGGAGTCAGCGTTACCAAACAGAAATATCTAAAGATGGGCTTACACTCCTCTGGTCCACCATTGTGTCTATGTTTACCATAGGAGGATTTATAGGAGTGTCCATTGGTGGCACTTTGTCAGTGAAGTTAGGAAGGTATAAACATTTTGAAAACAACATGTAGAAATGTTGATCATTTCTTTTATTGTATAAATATGACACTTTCTTGTCTTATGGTGTTTTTCAGGAGAGGGACGCTTCTGGCCAATAATGTTTTTTCATTAGTTGCTTCTCTGTTGATGGGCCTGAGCTCCTTTGCAGGCTCATTTGAGATGCTCATTATTGGACGTCTTCTCATTGGAATAAATGCAGGTAAATTCATTTATTGTAGGAACAGATTTACAACAAGTAGAACTCCTGAAATGTGAAGCAAAATCAGAATGAGAGGTTCTTCTATTGGTCCAGCTTGTGATGTTTGTCAACACTTTTTGATACTTTAGTTCATGCCAAAAAAGTACACAAAAAACATAATTGTATAAAAAATAATTCTCACCCAAGCAAAGTACATTAAAAGCTAATGTACATCATAAGAATTTTATGCAGAGTCACATGGAGAGGTGATTGATAGCTCTGAAATCCTCTTCCTGGCTGTGATTGTGATGTTTCTGTTAGCAGAAACACTTTTTGTCTGTCTTATACCAAAACTGTTATGACATGGTGACAGTTCCAACAAATATGTAAACGAAAAATGTTTTTGTTATAGAAGTTTCACTCTGCAGCATTAACAAACACTTCATATTGTTTAACTCAATGCAATGAATGTATTTTGAAAATAAATAACTGAAATAAATGAACTTTTCAGTTAAATTATAGTTTACTGACACCTGTGCAAGACTGTAAAATCCCTCGTTATTTTTCCAGGCATTGCACTATGTGTTGAGCCGATGTTCTTGGGCGAAATAGCTCCAACATCGTTACGTGGTGCCATGGGAACAGGCTCCTCCATTTTTCTCACTGGTGGCATCTTGTCGGGACAAGTGATGGGCCTCAAGTTAGTGAAATACTTGTTTTCTTAATTTCAATCTACTGCTCCATATTTGTGCTGAAATTGAAAACTAATATAATTATATTTGTACATTGATGCAGGGAATTGCTCGGTAAAGAACAGTACTGGCCCCTCTTGCTCGCCACCACGTGTATTCCAACATTACTGCAGTTGCAGTTGCTGCCCTGGTTCCCTGAAAGTCCGCGCTACCTCCTTATTGATAGAGGAGACAAGGAGAAATGTAAAAAAGGTAAGAGTCTTCAATGCAAGTGTGGTTTCTTTTCTTGTAATTCCAAATTTTAAAACAATTTCATGGGTTGCCTGCCAAGAAGACATGGTGCATGTGACGGTGCTGCGCAGAAAGGCTAAATACTTCTCAAACACTGCTAGAGGCTGTCAGTTGAACCATGTGAGCGCCTTCTGATAATTGCATAATGATGTGAAGAAACTGTGGTTTGACCTTTGGTTTCTTAAAAGGAAAAAGAAAGCAGTCTGTCGTAATGTAGGCATGTGAGAGAAAACGTGAACAGAGGACCTCTTTTTCTGTCTGCAGCCCTGAATCAGTTGCATGGCGCTGCAGGCTCTGATGTTGTGCTGGAGGATATTCAGAAAGAGAAGGACAATTTGGTTGGCTTCAAAGCCAAGAAACCCTGGGAGCTCTTTGCAGATCGCAGCATACGCTGGCAAGTCATCACCATCATTGTACTCAACATAGCACAGCAGCTGAATGGTGTCAACGCTGTACGTATGAGCTTCCTGCACTGTGACCTCTCAATGTCTTTGAAAAACAAAGCTTTAACGACTTGCCCTTGTCTATATCGACTGCAGATGTACTTCTATGCTGATTACTTGTTCCGACAAGCTGGAATCTCAGAAGATAATATACCTTACGCCACCGTCGGTACAGGTGCTTGTGAATGCCTCACTGCATTAACATGTGTAAGTATGAGCTTGGAATGGAATATTTAAAGACATTTCTGCAATAAGCCACAGAAAAATAAATAAAGGGTGCTGCAGTGGAAAGACTATTAAAAATCAACTGGCATGATGCTTATAATATCACATGATACAGCTCTCATTTAAAGCTTAAAAGTGATAGTTTTGGTTTTGTGACATGCTGTGTTTCTTTTAGGGTATGCTGGTTGAATCTCTTGGAAGGAAAGTGCTCATCTCAGGAGGATACCTACTGATGAGCGTCTGCTGCATTTTATTCACAGTGACTCTTGCTCTGCAGGTAATTCTTCCCAAGGATACGCCCTTAATGGAGTTTTCTATTTCTATAATGTTCTACTTTACATGACAAGCATTTAGTTATACCTGTACAGAACAATAGTAAACACCTTTCCATGTTTCTTAAAGAAAAAGCAGACAAAGGCAAATAACAAGAAGAATTTTAACAGCTAAACATGACAAAACTGGTTACTTACCCAATGCATTTTGTCCCTGTCACCAGGGACAAGTGGAAGCTTTGTCTTAGGAGTATTTCGTGCAAAACAAACACAAATAAAAAAAGTAGTTATGACATTTTGAAATAGAGGTGACACACTATATATGTTGTTGCTTGCTTTCAAAGAAAAGTCTGACTTGTAACTTTTCCATTTCAGTGTCAGGCTTGCGTTCATTCATCTTTTCAATGACTATCTCTCTTCCTACAGAATGTCAGTCCAGTCTTTCCATATTTAAGCGTGGCTTGTGTTTTTGCTTTTGTCTTAAGTTTTGGCTTGGGACCAGGTACGTTAGCAATTTAGCAAATGTATCCTATTTCAGGGTCTTCATCAGCAATGCAACATCTTAACTTTGTTGTTTTGTCCTCTAAAGGTGGCGTAACAAACATTTTAACCACAGAGATGTTCAAACAAACTACTCGGCCTGCAGCTTTCATGATCGCGGGATCAGTGAACTGGCTCAGCTTCTTCCTCATTGGCTTGCTCTTTCCCTTTATTGTGGTGGGTGTTAGAGATAACTTCGAGCTTAGTTTTACTTCTGATCTATATCAGTTTGACTATTTTATTATCTTTCTATTTTTTTTTCAGCAAAATGAAGGTGAAACATTTCAAGTGCTTGATATCTTATTAAGGGGATTAATGTGATATAGAGCACTGGATGATACAGGAAAAACCAACTTGCCTAAACTGCAAATTATAATGAGCAATAATGTTATTATGTGAGAAATGATAGAAAACACAAAAAGTCTAACTAATAAAGATGCCTGAGTGTGTATTGGTTGCTTATAATGTCTAATCACTGATTACCCAAAAGTTTTCTTTTTAAAACAATTATGTTTTGTTATCTGTTGAAAGTGAAATGTCTGCATTTAAATGTTGAATGTTTTACATCGGCATTTATTTGTTTTTTTCCCCAGATCGGGCTGCAGCACTATTGCTTCCTAGTGTTCTTTGTCGTCTGTCTCTCGGTGGGGATCTACATCATCGTCGTTCTCCCTGAAACCAAAAACAAAAGCTTTGTGGAAATCCAGAAAGAATTCCAGTCCAGATGGAGTAAAGAGACAAACTCTGATGAAGCAGATGCTTTGCTTATATCTACTTCTTTATGATGGGTCTCTGATTCAGCATTAGAGCTAGCAAAGCTAGCTTGTCTTCTAAACAAACCATGATTTATTATTCAGTTCAGTTTTATTTACTGGCACTTTACAAAAACATTATTTCAATTCAATCATACATATATTCCAAATGATCCCAGTTTTCAAACAGTACAGTATGCTCAATTAATTATCATTTGTAAAAAAAAAAATTAAAAAAAAAGCTAGTGATAAATAATGCAATATATCTGTGGTACTTTTGAAGATATTCTTGTTAGGGGTTTTTTTTCTCTTGAAAACTTAAGCTGTGTTGAATGGTGTGGATTTTATTGTTCCAAATGGTAGTTTGGATAACTTTTTCAAAAAGCGCTGTCCTGCAGTTTTACAATAAAGATAAGCCAATTAAATACGACCTTTTGTAATCAATCAGAGGTCTGCATGCCACTGAGGCTACTTTGTGTTTCATTTTCTTAATCCCTTGGGAGACATGTGATCTGTTGAACAAAGCATTCACTGAAGTGCTGCTCGTGACTACTTTTGGAGGAAAGATAAAGGTATTAGCTATAATTAAGGTTAGAGAATATAAGACTTAAGGCTTATATATTTAAAGAATGCATAAATATGGCATAATATTCTTTTGTAAAGTGTTTTCTTTAGGAGTTATTCTCCTTGATTGTTTGAACAAACTGAATACACCTGACTGACTTAACTGCTCAAGCTACCACCTGACTGAAATGATGAGCTTCACTTGGCATGAAAAATGAAGTCAGAGAGTGTACTACTGGCGTTGAGTAACAAGTTCTCAGGAAGCATACACTGTGGGTAATTCACATTACAAAGGGAGAGTGCATAAACCTTTCTAAAGTAGCTTTTAGTATTTTATATCAGACATACACTAAAAACTTTAATGACGATATATTGTATTAAAGATAAATTCTTTTTAAAGCTGTATATACCAGAATAGTATAGCAGTTTTTATTCAGGACTAAAACTGCTAATTATTTATGATAATTTGTCAAACTGCAGTTTTAAGCCCCAGACTGGATCTTTAAAAGGCCTCTGTTTCTTAACCCACATGCAGAACACCACCAGGAGAACAGGAACCAAATAAATTCAGTTTATTTAAACAAAATGAAATGGTTGATTGAGTGGGTCTGGTCCTTGGGGTAGGCACAGGGGATTGTCTGCACACTGGAGAGCAGCAGAGGGAGATGATGAGTTTGAGGTTTTCTGAAATGGGAACTTTGAGAGAAATTAGACTGATCTTACTTGGGTTGAAGATAACTTCCACCAGGAAGAGGGAAAATGTAATACTCTGAGATAAATTAACAGAGCTTGAATAACTGATAAAAAGAAATAGACTTACACTAAATATTTAAAGATTAATACGTAATGTATTGCAAAAGAATTCAGCTTTATTGATCTGCCATGTTACAACCATAAACTTAAGTATATTTTATTGAAATTCCAAGTTACTCCATAGTTTAAATACTTAGTGCTGCAGCTACATTTGCAAATTTTTGTGATTTTGTTCAACCACTGGATACAGGTAAATTGCAATGAACATACATTTTCAAGCTTTGCCACAGATTTTCAAGAGTATGTTTTGATTTCAATTATTTTATTGTAGACCTGTATATGCAGGACAATGGAAGGTTGGTCTCTCATTGTCCTGCTGGGAGGTCAATTTCCACCCAATACCAAAGCTTTTCCTCCCAGTATTTAGCTCCATCCAGCTTCCATGTTCGGGTTAATGAAAAGCATCCCCACAGGACTATACTGCCTTCATCATGTTTCACCATGATGATGGTGTGTTCAGGGTAAAATTGAGTGTAAACCAAAGCATTCAGTTTTGGCACAAAAGTGCCTTCTTCCATATATTTGCTTTGTAAATGTGTAAACTTCCGATGCTTTACATGCCCCTTTTCTATTACGGCCAGATTTAGGGAGTCTTGTCAATGGATTCGGTTCAGGTGAAGTCACTATTAAACAACTTTAGCGTTTTGCCTAATGGCATCCGTCAGGATGAAACGGAAGAGGTGATTAATTCAATCTGATTTATTTATATCTACTCACCCCAACATCAATAAAGTATTCTTTTGGAACTGAATTGATTTGGAGGACCACAAAATGGGTTTGTATTTGTTTTCTGGGAGCCGAAGTGGTCATTCAGAGTGTAGTGTCTCCCTCAGACCAACAGGTGGCGGTAATCACCGGCGCTCCACAGAAAAACTGAAAAAGGAAGAAGAGAAAACCTTTCCTCCTCATGTTAATATGGCGATGTAGATGTCCTGTCCACGCTGGTTTGTTGACATTTGTTTAAAAGCTTTATTCCGACTGGTTTAGTCGCAATACAAGAACAACCATGTCGAGACTCATCGTTAAAAACCTGCCTAATGGGGTAAGTAAGAACGCGTTCTGTTAAATATAGATGAAACCATCAGTTTTAGTTAATCTGATGATGTTTTCTTGTGCCCAGTTTAAGGAGGAAAGGTTCAGGTCGATGTTTGCTGCTTTCGGCACCGTCACAGACTGCTCTCTGAAGTTCACCAAAGAGGGAAAGTTCAGAAAGTTTGGCTTCGTGGGCTTCAAATCCGAGGAGGATGCGAGCAGAGCGCTGAAGCATTTCAATAAGAGCTTTGTGGACACATCCAGAGTCACGGTGAGATTTTCACCAACCCTAACAAGAAGAAAGGTGTGTTGTTTGTTAATTCATGCACGCAGGGTGTTCGTCTACCTGCAGGTGGAGATGTGTAAAGCGTTTGGAGATCCCACTAAAGGAAAAGCCTGGAGTAAGCACACCCAGAGCTCAGAGCAGGATAAACCCTCTGCTGATAAACCCTCTGCTGCTGCTGCTTCCACAGACAAAAAGAAGGTAAGAGGGCATTTCAGACTGGAATGTGGAGAAAACTCCCCAATCAAATCTGTCTGGCTTTCACTGGCTTACACAGATTACAAGCCGGATTTGGCTTCATTTCTAATAACTGTTACACATACATGCTCATTTGATTCAACAACTATTGTTGCATCTCAATAAATCAGAATATAAATGAAAAGATTGCAAACCCCAAATTCAGTTTTATGAGCTGTCTTTGTTAAGAAAGCTGAATATTTGCAGAAGATGTTAGTGGAAGGAAAAACATCTCATTGTAAGAGATGCGCAAGGATAGCAACAATCACCCAAATTAATAGAATTTATTACAAGTGTCATTTTTTTAATGGAAAAAATTACACCTTCAGAAAAGAAGCAGTTTTCAGTGAACATTTGAATTTGTAGGAGTTTTTATTTTTGATGCCTCTCATAGTCACTGGTCAGAGCCAATCTATTGGTGTGAAAAATTTTCAGAGTAAACTGCACTGTATGTTTCTTGTTTGTGTTGAAATTCAGAAAAATACGGGGAAAAAGGAAACCAGGAGTGCACTGGGAAATGTGAGTAAAAAAGAAACAATTTCCAGTTAACTGTTAAACTGCAGCTATTGAACATAAAAATATGTCAAAAAGACAAATCAAATGACAATTTTTGGCTACTTTTGATACTTGTAGATTATAGATGTAGAAACAATTTAAACATTAGCTGTAGTATGTTGGCACTCAATAAAATTGAATACTTTGTGACTTTTTTGTTGCTGTTTTTGTTATAATAATAATTTTTCATATTCACTTTCTTGTGCTGTGTCAGCTGGAGGCAGAAGATGGATTTAATGAGTTTCTGTCAGTGCATCAGAACCGCAGCCAGGCCCAGACCTGGGCAAATGACATGGCTCAGGATCCGGCTGACTCTGGAGGCGTACAAAAACAGAAGAAGAAAAAGCCAGCCTCTGATGATTACCTTAACTTTGATTCAGAAGAGTCAGAGGATGAGAAACATGATGATGATGATGATGATGATAATGAAGGTAAGGGTTGGTTGTTTCTTTTGTTCTTCTGAAATGTAATACAAATAGTTCAGTTGTTCTTTTTAACTAGAATTTAAAGATGTTTTTATTTTTAGTTGCCTCTACAGAAGCTCTGAAGTCTGGCCTGTCGGATATGGACTACCTGCGCTCCAAGGTGGCTCAAACTTTGGAGGAGAGTGACGAGGGGAATGAAGTTGATGAAGAGGAGGAGGAGGAGGGTCCTGTTCAGCATGGGGACAGTGCCTATGAGAGCGGTGAACGAGAAAACATCTCAAAATCTAAATTTTTCCCTGGGAATAAGAAACAAAGTGCCCAACAGGAGGTACATTTAAGTGAAATGACACCTTAGATATAATCATTTGGTTGAACATCTATGTTTAAAACCACATTTCTTTGTTCAGATGGAGCCAACGACAGATTTCACAGTGAAGCTCAGAGGAGTCCCATTTAATGTAAAAGAGGTGAGTTAAACTGCATCACCGGCAACGTCTTGCTTTAAAAACAGGCTGTCTTTATTATTCCACTTTTTTCATGTTAAATTCTGTTAGCAACAAATCCGAGAGTTTATGACTCCGCTGAGGCCTGCAGCCATCAGGATCGGGAGGAACGAAACTGGAAACAGAACTGGTGTGTGGAAAAAAAATAAATAAATAAATATAAATATGTTTCTGTTTAAACAAAAACATATATATTTGTCAAACAAGCTCCATGTGGCTCTTCTAGGTTATGTGTATGTGGACTTGCACTCTGATGAGGAGGTGGAGAAGGCTTTGAAGAAGAACAAAGATTACATAGGTAAGAAGTCAATAAATGAGTAAGTAATTTGGAACTATTAAGATTGTGTTTATCACTGCCAATATACAAACAGGTGGTATTTGCCATCTCTGAGAGTTTAATCAAGACAAAAAATTTCATTTAAAAGTGATATACCATAAAGTTTTTTCCGGCCAAGACCTGGATCCATCAGTTCGTCATTTGAGTCAATGCAAGATTTGTTTGTAGATCCTGAGTTGTAAAGATAAAGACCCCGACTCATCACTATTCACCCCATCACTATCTATTGTTTTGATGTCGTTTTTTGTTTTATGCTGTGGAATATGATTGTTGAACTTGGTGAAGAGTAAGTGCAATAATTTTGGGCTGGAGCAGTGGCAAAACAGTTTTTATTCCCACTAAAAAGAGTTTTTTGTGAGCTTTATAAAAGTATAATTGCATTGAAATCTCTGATATGGCAGAAACTAGTGGGGATACTTTAATAAGGAAATAAAATGTATTAATAAATAAATATTGTAGACTGAATCTATATAGAAGTTTTCTGTTCATACCAAACACTCAAAGTTTGGTATGATTATCTGGGCTTTATGGGATACACCTGTGTGTGATTTTAGCCGTTTTAAATGAATTAAAGAAATGTGGGATGGTCCTACTTTTATTCTGTTCAAAAATTTTAATTCAACTTTAAAAAGGTTTTTCTTCTATTTTTGTTTAGTTTATATGAGGAAGATTTTGTGCGGG